CTTAGAAGCAGTCGATTGCATAAACTCAATCAAGTCTTCAGCAAATGATAAGTTTCATTTCTATCACAAGAAAGCCCAAACTCATTAAACCGCTAATCCTTTCGGGGTTCTAAATAATGGTGAATGTAAATAAATGATAAGCCTTAGCTCCTCACTTATGTAAATAGGCATATTTCATTTTCATTTTGAGACTGACAGCAATCCTATTCACCGCTAAATTATCTGAATTCAAGAAGAATGCTGGATGTTTACAGTTGTGAGATAAATATGCCAGTTCAGCTCCAGACGTTATCACGCGTATTCTCGATGGAAGCTGGGAAACACATTCAATAGTGAGGTGGTTAATGGAGTACCTCATGCTGATATTCCATGGGTCCTCCAGTTTCGCTAAAGCCTGCCGTGTGATGCGCGCGATAGCGGGCGGAGCAAAACTGGTTTATGAAAAAGGGTGCGACGAAAGTAGTGAGCGCTTCAATAGTCCTCCTATTCTCCAAGGAAAATGGGGTCAACAATAATTCAAATGTGATTTTTTTGAGCTTTTTCAAACAAACAGTTTTCTTCTGAATCCTCAAGCTTTCACACAGTGTCATATACCATTCGAAAGAGAATTGTCTGCTCTACAAGATGTTATGTTCTTCTTCCACCTATGTTCCAGGGTTTTCAAATTTTAGGCCTGCGAAATGGGAGGTCCAGCCGACAAAAATTGACCAAACCGACAACTAGCTCTAACTTTATTTCCCTTGGGAGAAATCAATCAATGATGTACCCTCTACTTACTCATGACCTCTTCTAAACATTCCACTCTTAGGTTGCCGAAAAAGCTTTGCCGTGTTTCTTTTCGAATTGGCTGACCGATAAGCCATAGCAATTTTCAAATTAAAATTGTTCCTCGTAAACGCCATTGTTTCATATCGAATGGTGTTCCTTTTGTGAGCACTTCTTCTGCTCTATTCGCTCATTTGTTTTGTTTTATGTTTGTTGGGAATTAGTTCGAATTTTAGGTGTTTAGGAATAAGGTGCTTTATCCACGAAAGTGACCGCATTTCTTTGAAAAAGAAAGATCCTTATTCATGACTTGTTCTTTAAATTCTACTAGTTTTTCAATGTCTCGGCTATAAAAAATTTCGACCTAGATCTCAGGTAATGGTGCTCGACCGTCGAGTTCTGGTTGAAAAACCAGGTCTGGAAATGGAACGACGCGACTTGTTGGGAAACCTAATAGTGTAATGTTCAGAAGAGGTCATGTATAGGTAGTAGAGGGAACATTTTTGTCGGCTGGACCTCCCATTTCGCAGGCCTAAAATTTGAAAACCCTGAAACAGAGGTGGAAGAAAACATAGCATCTTGTAGAGCAGACAATTCTCTTTCGAATGGTATATGAACGATGTAAAAGCATGGGGATTTAGATGAAAATTTTTTGGTTGAAAAAAAGCGACACTACTTATGAGACAACCTAATACTAACATGCTGAACACAGTGAGGAATATTAAAACTGTTGGCGTGTGCGCAAAAGCATTTCAAAAATACAATGCCCCTAATGCCGGCCCGTGATTTTTTGAATATCTCACGAATAGCTATGTTTCAGGTGTCCGAAAACCAAGAAATGTGTCATTTGCTATTGCCCACTTTCAGAGAATGATTTATCAAGAAATTGAACCGCACAGTTCCCGTGCCATCGCAAAATTTCTTCCCAATTTTTTTCTTGGTCACTTCTCAGCTACAGCCTACAAGTAGTCGAGATGTGGAATTCTACCCACATTCAACGTTTACAGGAGGTTGGCCATTCTCAGCTGGTAAAATCTGTATATTAGCTCTTTTCCTGAACGCTGACTTGGTTAGCGAAAGAAACGCTGGGTCCTGTATATTGTGATCACTCCAACTGCTTCCGACGCAATACATCGAGGAGGACATTCAGAATGTTGAGCATTCGATGTGCTAAAAGAGCTGCAGTATTTTTTTAGGGCACCAAATGCAAAAAACTTCTTTTCATCGAGGTCTCGGCTATTGCAAGCTCGAAACCTTAACGGTCTGGCTATGGCCCCGGCTAAATCGGCCCAAGCTTCCCACGAACAAATGGTTCAACAGCTACTCTTTTCCGATCGCTGATCGCAGTTATTTATTCACCATCTTCTCGCGAACAAAAATGTTATAGCAGCAAAAAATTTATGTGACAAAAGTGTCTGTAAAATTGTGTGGTGATTACTATCAGGTTGAAGGAAAGTTTTAAAACACCCACAGCCAAAGTTTGAGATTGGTTTTTTCCTTCTTCATTCATTCGAAAACCTCTAACACATACCATAAAAGTCAACAGCAATACGTCAGCTTTCGAGCAGCTGGTTGGTACCATTTTGAGGATTAGGAGAATTTCTTTGCCTTTCGAAAAAACATTTGGAAGTCGGATTTGCGGTCCTTTCCGTCGATGAGCTTCTTGTGCTTGAGGTGATGTGCGAGTAGGAAAGATGAAATGCGTGATGGACAGGTTCAGCAAATGTGGTGTGCGGGCCCGTGGTCCGGCCTAGTACGTGGCTCTTCCTCAATGAGACTGGAGGCACACGTGGACGCGCGTTGTCGTGAAGCAAATCGAATTGTTGATGTTTTCCACGAGAATTTTGCGAAACCGTTTTTAGTAACTAGCACTTTTAGTCAGTACCGCTTGTCATCGTCAATCCTGCAGACAGAACATCATCCATGGATAATGCCGTCACACTTTCCAAATTCGACAGCATTACTATTTCCCATAAATGTCAAATCCAGGCAGTGAAACACTAATTTCCCCTACTGCTGAATTCACGCATGGTCAACACAGCAGATATAGATGTCTTCGCAAGTGGCCACATGCCGCAGTGCATCATCGTTGCTTTGCGACGAGAGGTCAATCTGTAGATGTCCACCCTGTAAAGTTGTGCGGTACCTATTTACCAAACTTGAGGACCTGTCTAATTTTTGAAGAGCCTAAAAGGCATGCGTATGAAAGCACTCTGCCAGACAGTGACGAGCGCCTCAAATCATCCTCGAATACACCGCTTCTGACAACGTCAAGAAGGACAGTAGTCGTACGTTGCATCGAAGGGATCAGGGTCTCCGCTGTGGAGCGTTCAAACCATCCTGATAACCACGTGGGAGATCGTGCCCTATTCTATAACGGGACCTATTCTGAGCGCCTTTCGCGAGCGGATGTACCCAGGCGAAAATCGCACAGGAAGAGCACTCGGATGGTCTCGTGGGAGGAGTAGATTTTGTACGATGTAAACGCCATTAGTAGAAAAGCTCTTTGGGGCACCGTAGCATTGCACAGCTCGCTCCTTTTTCACATCATCTGCATACTAGCACTCGGTAGAAATGCAGAAACAGCGCGAATTGAGAGTTCCAAAATTTTTTTCCCAATCTAATATACATATGTCCTGCGGAATGCGCCATGGTCGTACTAAATTACTTCAGAAAATTAGGGAAAAGTTCTGTTTTTACAACGTTATTATTCATGTGCGAACTCGCAATTATGTTGGACTCATGTTCGCTTCAGACTCTTTCAGAGACATTTTGTTGCACGTGTTTTCAGGGAACTTATGAGTAAAAACACAATTATGTGGAGCAGTGTAGTATAAGTGCCAAGCTTCTTCAGAACATTTCTTGCATGAAATATGGACACGTACGGAAACTACAGAACTGCGGTTCCTATTTACTGAATACAAAAAGGGGGAGGAAGACATTCTTTAAGAAACACGGCTTCATTATGGAGTATATTGTTCACGGTTTGTCTAGTGTCACAGTGAGAGCTTGTCGTTCTCGTACATTGAGAACAACGTGAAGTTTGGCAGAAATGAAGCATTTTTGGACGAGTTATGGCTTTGATAAGTTTACAGTCACATGCTTATGCCGGGAAAGCCTGCCGAGATCCTTGGTTAGTGGATAACGCGTTTTCGGACTCATTGCACGATGCGAAGATGGTAGCTAACTTTATCTCCAGGCAGGCTGTCTTATTGCATTCTTTGGACTGGTAGTTATATGATTGAAGTGCAGGGATGGGACTACTTCACAAATGAGCGTCAGCGATTCTTATTGAAATGAGTTTGCTCGTTCTACTGCAAAAAACATATTGGGGGGAGCCACAACCGAAACACGAAGTTTCGCAAAAAGTCGGAATTTTGAAATGTTAGCGTTTGCAAATTGGAACTACTGAATAGGTTTCTGATGGGAAGTTAAGGATGCAATTTGCGAATATCGAATATGTTACTGACAAATTATATGCGCAACAAGAATCAATAACGTTTGCCATTTATCTCGCAACAAATCGATGCCTCCGTTTCAAAATTGATAATCCTTTAATCCGAAAAAAAAAACGGTCTAGCTTGTGCGAGCTGCTCCAGTGTTGGCGAAACTTTGAATGGGGAAATGGTGCTTAAACAAGTGATAGTATGATGGCGACAAGTCTGGTGAGTACGGCGGATGTTCGAGCCACTCCCATCTCATTTCATGAAAGTTGCCTTGCTTCGACCGACAAGCAGAGCGAGGTTTTGCGTTGTCGCGAAGCAAAGCAGCCGAGCAACGAACGACGACCAAGCGCACTGTGGTAAAACTCCAACTGTCTGCAGTAGACCTCAGAATTCACAGTGCGTCTTTCTTAAATGAGGTCCAGTGGATGAGTCCGTTCCGGTTCGGAAAAGTGACCAACATCACTTTGCGCCGAATGAAGGTTGGGTCGAGGTTTTCCAAATGGTGGTTGCACAGATGATAGCCACTGATTGCTACAATGTGGATTGGCAGTCTAAACTCCTTTTTATCCACAGTACAGTGTCGCGCGAGAACTGTCGGCGTTGACGACGACTGAGGTGAAGGCGTGCAACCAGCGGTCAGCAAATGGGAAGCCAAGGTTCCTTACGCCACATCTTGCCGGGTGCCTCAAAAACCAGCCAATGGTTACGTGAACGCAGTAAAAAACCTCTGTCTAATCTCGAGTGGCCAAAGTAGGATCCGAATCGATTGCATCGAATGACCGGTTCTCAGTCAACTTCACGTGAACGTCCTGCTTGAGTGATCGTCCAAGCTGGTGTTGTCCGCATGGAACTTGGCAAACAATCGATGTGTTAGTTCTGGGAACATTTTGTTGACCATTTGCTCGATTGATATTCTTCATGGCACTTTGCGTATCGTGACCCCATTGAACTCACAAGTTGCGGATAATGTCTCTTGTTGGTACCATCGTTGGGGAAGCAAGTTTGATTGGTACACCCGAAGACGTTTAAAGGAATCTTTCGCGGAAAATTCTTGCATTCTTTCTTGACATGAATGTGTCAGTTGTGATCACTGGAAACAGCACACAAAGTTTCACGCATGAAGATTCGGTTTCCGAAGAGAAACAAACTCACAAAATACACTCTATGGACAATCGAAGGTAATTCGGGCGGAGCCAAAGGCGGGGCATGGAAAGAAGTCCGCCTTGGGCGGCTACGTATCAGGCGACGCAATGAAAGAATCGGGTTAAAGCGCGCGATTTCGGAGAGTAGAGACAAATCGATCGATAGAATAGGATGGAGTAGAAGTGTAAGATGTGAATGCAATAAAGCAGAAGGCCAGAAAGAGTTTCTAGTGAAGGCACTCCAAGAACCAAGTGGAAGCATCCCCGTCGCCAGCATTTGTGAAAGAAAGACGTCCGTGGGCACTTTGAACGCGTAGCAGCCCTTTCGATTTTTCGAATTTTTACCAAAACAAAGCAATATTTCTGTTCTTTTCATTCTTATCGTGGATAATGAGTCTCAAGCCAGTGATTTATGAAATAGCTGAAATAGAATCATGATTTTTCCTTGAAGGATTCTTTGAAGCCAATTCTGTACAAGGTAGCGCAAAAAACTTTTTTCATGGCAAGATTACAAATTTCAGGACTCCGCCCGGAAACCTTTGCAACAACCTTATATGTTTTTTCTAAAACTTTGGTTCTAGAAAATTATCAGTGCCTTGGTTACGAACTGAAAACTTATTTTTTGCGTGAACGTCAACTGGTGTCACTATGACGCCCCTCGGCACCACTTCGGGCCGTTTTGATGTCATCCATTAGCACAATATTTTTGGCCAGACTACTTGTAAGAATTACCGATGGCCCTATTTATAAGCATAACCCTCATTCTTGGCGCAGACACCATTTTGTGCGGATTCTGAAACGCCATATCTAAATGCAAAGGTTTGTCACCACGGAGAATTGAACCGGGGACACTTCAACGTCCTTTTTCGGTATTTAGGAAAAAGGGGAGCGTTTAGGAAAAATGGGCAATGGTTCTGTGGTCCCCGCATGCTCCCTCTATCTTGTGAAAACCCATTTCGAAAAAATTGGCACATTCTGAAAGATTTTCCTAGCTAGATAACTAGTTGCAATTTAACAGCCTCAATTCTTCATCTAGTACAAAATTCTCTGCCGTCCACAAAGGGCGCCATCGATCCAACTACAAAGGTAAAAGGCATGGCATAATATGAAGACAATTATGAACAAACTTTTTCGCTATAGGTCCAATTGATTCTAGATCGTCCACTATAGCTGACGGTGTGGTCCCCACTGTGCAGTACACCAGCAACGGGATTAGCTTCTCTGCCAGGTCCTGCAGTGTGATAGCATTCGTATTATAAAATCATGGAGAAAAGTTGAGAAATATAACCTGCTGGATTTGCTCCTCGACCTCGGCACCAGTGAGGCTCCATTTGTTAGAGCTCTTTGCCTGAATGGCGTGACACTTCACCATTGCCATTGCACACGCTTTCTCAGCATAAGGATGTGCCTGCGAAACAAATAGTAGAAGTAGAGCCCTAAGTACGTGGATGTGTAGCATCAGGTTCAATGAATCGCACATCTTCAGAATAATTCTGCGAATGATTATTCTGAGAATGGTACCAGCCGGGCATTTTCGACTCATGGAAGAAGATTCGCACATCATCTAGGGATGTAATCATGAAGGATTTCAACAATGTGTCTGCGAAAAATCTACGCCCGTCTACTTGAAAAGGCTGCCTGTAAATGTGGAGAATTTGTATGAGACACTGCAGCATTCAATGTCTCGGCATTACAGGCAATTTCAAAATGTACATTGCTATTTGAGCCTTGCTTCTAGAAAAACCCGATCATTGAACGCAATTAGCGTCTTAAAGGAATCTTGCGCGGAAAATTCTTGCACTCTTTCCTAACATGAATATGTCAGTTGTGATCACTGGAAATAGCACACAAAGTTTCACGCATGAAGATTCGGTTTCTGAAGAGAAACAAACGTACAAAAACTACACGTTATGGACCATCGAAGGACCAGGAGGCAGAGCCAGGCGAGGCATGGAAAGAAGACGGCGTTTGGCCGGCTACGTACCAGGCGACGCAATGAGAGAATCGGGTTAAAGCGCGCGATTTCGGAGAGTGGAGACAAATCGATCGATGGAATAGGATGGAGTAGAAGTGTAAGATGTGAATGCAACGAAGCAGAAGGCCAGAAAGAGCTTCTAGTGAATGCACTCCAAGAACCAAGTTTGAGCATCCCCGTCGCCAGCATTCGTGAAAGACGTCCGTGGGCAATTCGAACGCGTAGCAGCCTTTTCGAGTTTTCGAATTTCTAATCAAAACGAATACTTCAGTTCTTTTCACTATTATCGTGGATAATGAGTCTCAAGCCAGTGATTTATGGCTGAAATAGAATCATGATTTTTCCGCGCAAGATTCCTTTAATTTTTTGGCTGGATTGGAGCCACATGTAAAAAAACGTTCCTGCTTCCTTCCTCATAATCCATACTGCTTACGACTGTTCACGCTTTTGCTTCTCGATCGACCGATCGCTATACAGAACTGCCCCACATTGCTAACGCTTGTACTCTCATTTCCTAACCCATGATAGTAACATACCAACCTACAAGGAAGACACCATCGGTCGCCACAGTCATTGAGAGATAGAGCTACTACTCAAATCGATTTTGAAACTTCCAGATTCAAATCTGGGCCTGCATGCTATAGGTGATTTCCAAAAACCCGAAATCATGGCAGACCTTCTTCTGCATCTTCCGTGCATGCCACAGGAAAGATGGTAACTAAAAATTAAATCCATTCACCAGTTGAAATTGTCACCAACTTTTTGCAGCAATTCAAAAGCAATACTGTTTTCAACTAGAAATTGAAGAGACATATTTGAAATCTTCAACCTGACCTGCACCCCATCTGATAGGCCGAAGTGGTATTTGATACATGAAGAATACATCCTCACCTAAAATTCCAAAACACACCTTCCAACCTGCTTCCATATCTCTGACACGTTTTCTCCGCTAGACAAGCCACGACAGAACTTGTTGTGATACGAGCAAACCCAATTTAGCCAGAAATATGTACACATGCCACCTGTTAGTATTTAGACTCGGTGGGCTAAGTGAATGCTATGTATGGCCGTCCGTGTCGCAAATCAACGGTTTGGGCTCCTTAATGTACCACGGGTTTTGTTGCTACCTTCCGCCAAACTATGCTCAACTACTTCTGCGAACACCTTTTTGCGCTATTAGCGGAAGCCGTTTTAACTTGGCAAAAACCCTCGTCGCAAGAAGAAACTAGGCCTCTCAGGCAATCCAGGGTGGATTCTTCTGATCGCTCCTTTCTTCTACACATCCAAACGAATTAGACCTGCAACTTTGATATCATGATGACAGGATTGGGAGGGTATGATGAGGAAGAGTCTTAAATCATTTGGCTTGAAACCCGTATTCTCCCTCTCCAGAGGAACCACTGCATGGGTAAGTGGCCCTTAAGATGACCCAAGAACTAGCCCATGATGCACTCATTAGGCGTTTCCGCGTTGAACTAGTGCGATAATCGCGTTCAGGAGCTTGCACCACATCGCTCCTAGGGAAATTGTGATTTCACCTTCACTTCGAAAATTTTTGTGATGCGGGAGCTTTGGGCGGCGGTCAATGTCAATAAGAGGTCCTGCTACGCGGCGCTAAAATTGAAGGTTCCAGTCGCGATGGGACCCTAATATTGTCCCCATAAATTGAGTTCCAACGACCATAATCGTGTTGCCCACAAGTCTTGTGCTTGTGGGTGATGAAGGGGCACCACTACTACTATTGAGCCGGGCAGTAACTCCAACGTGGTTGTCCCACTTTTTCCGAGCTTGACTATCTGATGGCGATCATCACACTCTCTCGACGAGAAAAGGCTCGTTTGTGCGTTGCGTATGCTAAAGTGCCGCAGTGCGAAAGTCAGAATATTCAAGCGAGAATTGATCCAAAAACGGCAGTCTACCCGCTATTAACATGGCATGTCAAAACAGCACCATTGAAACTTGAAGCGAGCGAATCTGATCCCCGACGTCGCTTCTGCGAACCTGCCCCTTTATCCATTTGGCCATCACACCGATTGCGAGGAAAAGACCTTAGTAATTTTATACACAGTATCGTTAAGCAGATAAGGTAGATTGGGAATCAACGTCTGCAGATGCATCAGGTGGTATACATCTTATTTTATACGGCCACTTCAACCCCTTGTTAGTTGTGTTGAAAGAGATTATGATCTCGCACAACATTATACCTCACTTTTGATAACAGAGTGAATATATTTCAAGTATTTTGGAAATGATTGACACTTACTAGCAGTTGCTGAGACCAGCGCCGATTCATTGTTGCACTTGTACACAAATACTTGTAATGCTAACAGCAACAATAAAATGGCGGGTTAAAACAAAATTTGGAAGGGAAACGTCATTTGAAGCGGCCTCTAGCAGGAGTAATAGAAATATGCAGTCAAATATGCAGTCGCAGGTAAGGCAGACTTCGAATTCAATGGTGACAGTTGTCGTCGCCAGGGCTTGGAAGGGTTTAATATTTTGTGATTTCAGGGTCCTAATAGTGGGAGCGCTCAAACCTATTCAGCTTCCAGCATTCATAATGCTTGGGCAGAAATTCCCCAACAAACCCTGCGCGCCGGCGACGAAGCACAAGTTCTCACGAACTGTACCGCTGGCCGACATCGAATACATCTACACTTTCCAGCTATTGCGTTGCTTCAATGTGAGAAGAGATAAGTTGTAGAGTTCCCGCATTTCTACTTGAATTGCGCTTTCCCCGCCACATTACCATAATCATAGTCCGTCTTATGATACCTTCATTCCTAGCAGTTTTCGATTGAAATTGCATTCATGTTGAGAATAGTCACGAATATGAAAGTAATCCGCTTACATCTTTATTGATGTAGACGACCAACTTCGGACCAACTTCCCGCATAAATTCGCCATATGCCGACTGTGGCTTCTTATGCAGCGCCATTAACTAAACTATCATGGTTGCACATTAGATCTCAATACGTCGACAACTGCGTTCTGCCAATTCAAATTTGTCAATTGAGTGCTACAATATAATAGAATGCATCTTCCTAAAACTCAACATGTCATCTCCTTGTATTGTGGCATATATTCAGGCAGCTCATTACTCGCGTTTTTCCATGGTACATCTTAGCATTGCTTGAGTTTTGGCAGGATCTTCACCTCGGAGCAAAATGCAGCAAAAATAGCTCAAAGCATAAAAGTTGTGTAGTTAAGGGAGTGCTATCTGCGTGCCACCGGCTTCAACAGTTCGCCGTGGCGAATTCGACCATCTGTATGAGAAAAGTCGCTAAAGTGATTCTGCGCTCAATTACTGTGAAACAAAGAAGTTGGTGAAAAAACGCCCGTAGTGCTTTGCAAGAAACTAGCAGCGTTCCCAGGTGCAGTAATGGCAATTGGAAGCCCGAAAATGGTGGTCCAATGGATTTCCTACGAGAAGGACATGAGACAGTGGAGTCGTGTGCCTGGTGTGCACAGTAGTCAGCGCTTCTTTTGCGCAACAAGAACGATCATTTTTTGAGGGCTTTGTAAGGTACGCTTGAATTAGATGCTTTGTGACAATTGGAGAGGACTGGTTCAGTGGTTGGGCCGCCTTAAGAAGACACCATCTTTCCAGATTAAAAAATATGGCAATTCAAA